TTATGATTTATGGGAAGAGGTTAATAGATCAACATTAACAGGAGTTTGGAAGAAGCTGATTCCACTCCTCATGGATGACTTTGAAGGGTTTAAGATTCTAGTGGAGAATTAACTGTAGATGTGGTGGATAGAGCAAGAGAATTAGAAGTGGAGCTTGAAGATGGGACTGAGCTGCTGGAATCTCATGATAAAATTTGAGCAGAGGAGTTGTTGCTTCTTATGGATGAAAAAAGGTGGTTTGAGATGGTATCAATTCATAGAGAAGATGTTATGAGGATTCTTGAGGTGTCAACAAAGGTTTTAGAATATAACATAAACTTAGCTAATAACATAACAGGATTTAAGAGGACTGACTCCAACTTTGAGAGAAGTTTTACCATGAGTAAACTATTAAAGAGCATCTCATGCTACAGAAAAATTGTTCATGAAAGGAAGCGTCAATGTGGTGAACTTCATTGTTGCCTTATCTGAAGAAATTACCAGTCACCCCACCTTCAGCAACCACCACTCTGACCAGGCAGCAGGAATCAACAGAGGCAAGAATTACTACCAGCAAAAAGGTTAGGATTCACTGAAAGCTCAAATAGCATTTTTAAGCAAGAATGTATTTTGAGAGTATATACAAGTGTGTGTCTAGATAGAATGCTACTGCATACTTAATAGACTACAAGATAATATAATCCTTTCCTCTGTATGCACTGGGAAGCCAAATCATTTGACTTGCTTTGTTGCAATATTTGTATTATGCTGATCTGGAACTGAATTTCAGTATCTCCAAACCATGACTGTACACAGTCCAGAAACAGAGCTACACATATACAGTCAAATGATTTCTTCAAAGTTTCCAAGAAAACTCAATGGGGGACAAATAATTGTTTCAGTAAATGATCTGGAATATTTGGACAGCCATATGCAAGAAATGGGGATGGGGGGGAACAACCTTTCACACGATACAAAAATTAACATAAAATGTTAGCTGAAATAAGATCTAAAATTGTAAAACTCCTAGAAGAAAATGTAGGGAAGAAAGAAAATGAGAGATGGCAGAGAAGTAGGAGACCCTGCTTCAACCGGTCCCCTAAAGTGAGCTAAATATCTACCAGAACACTCTGAACACCCATGAAACCAGCCTGAGTAGGATTATACACTTCTGATCTCTACGGGGGCAGAAGACACCAGTGGAGAGGTAAAGCAGAGTGGGAACGTTCAGACTGATATCGGAGGATAAGCAAAAGGGGAAGGGAGCCACCAGAAGCAACCCATTGGAAAGTAATACCCCAATACGAAAGTGCCCTGTAGTTGGGAACTAGCATTAACTTAGAGTCTGGTTAAAAGCACTCAAAAAGAGCAAAAGATCTTAAAGGGCAACTGGTGGAATCAGGCGGTCACAGGCACGTGCTTAAGCCCACGGACCTAGGATGGCCCCTGACGGCAAACACCTGTGCCAGAGAACATGCTGTGGAGCCTCCAGACTGTGGTCCCTGAGCTCCAGGCTTTCCACTGTTTGCACCACTACTCAGCTGGGTGCACTCCCCCTTCTGCCCGCACCTAAGAAAGCCTGGTGTGGGCGCCAGCTGCCAGTCTCTAGGACTGCACCCTTCCACGACCGGCCCAAGGGTCTGAACACTCCCAGCCCATGCCTGAGTGAACCCAGCGTGATCTCTGGTCGGGATCTCTTAGCAACAGCCTTCCTCAAACTGTGCAAACCCAGGGTCTGAGTGCACCCTGCATGGGCCTGGACCCCAGACAGCAGTCCCGGCAAAGGCAGCCACTGCCACTGAAAGCAGGCTCCTCAGACCAATATTGCTTGTGGTTTTAGTAGCATAGGTGCAGAGATAGGCAGGCGCCTCAGGTGACCACTGGGATGGTAATGGCTGGGGGTGCACACTACCTGTAAGAGGTTGTGCTGTTCAGCTGAGTTTGCAGAGGGGGAGTCTGTGTGTTCTGGACCACCCAGAAGGAAGCAGACTGAGGCTTCTGAGACCGATTTGGGTGTAGACAGTTTGCTTTCCACTAAACCTCAGAAAAGCCCAAAAAAGCAGCCAAAGAACAAAAACCTTCAGAGAACAAAAGCCTGAAAAACCAGTTTCCACAGAATCCAACCCCTTGATAGGGGGGCAGGACGACTCAACCCAAGCAAAACTGACGGGAGACCCAAAAGTTCATTTTTGCTTTTGTTTCCTTTGCCTTTGGAGACATTATCTTGAAAGAAGTTGCTGTGGCTGATATTGAAGAGGTTACTGCCTATGTTCTCCTCTATGATTCTGATGGATTCCTGTCTCACGTTGAGGTCTTTTATCCATTTCGAGTTTATCTTTATGTATGGTGTAAGAGAATGACCAAGTTTCATTCTTCTACATATAGCTGTCCAATTTCATCAAGATCAAAAGCTTCTGCACAGCAAAGGAAACAGTCAACAAAACAAAGAGGCAACCCACGGAATGGGAAAAGATATTTGCAAATGACAGTACAGACAGAAGGCTGATATCCAGGATCTATAAAGAACTTCTCAATTTCAACACACACGAAACAGATAATCATGTCAAAAAATGGGCAGAAGGCATGAACAGACACTTCTCCAATGAAGACACAAATGGCTATCAGACACATGAAAAAAGTTCATCACTTGCCATCAGGGAGATTCAAATTAAAATCACATTGAGATACCACCTTACACCAGTTAGAATGGCCAAAATTAGCAAGACAGGAAACAATGTGTGTTGGAGAGGATGTGGAAAAAGGGGAACCCTCTTACACTGTTGGTGGGAATGCAAGTTGGTGCAGCCTCTTTGGAGAACAGTGTGGAGATTCCTTAAGAAATTAAAAATAGAGCTTCCCTATGACCCTGAAATTGCACTACTGGGTATTTACCCCAAAGATACAGATGTAGTGAAAAGAAGGGCCATCTGTACCCCAATGTTTATAGCCACAATGGCCACGGTCGCCAAACTGTGGAAAGAACCAAGATGCCCTTCAACGGATGAATGGATAAGGAAGATGTGGTCCATATACACTATGGAGTACTATGCCTCCATCAGAAAGGATGAATACCTAACTTTTGTATCAATATGGACGGGCCTGGAAGAGATTATGCTGAGTGAAATAAGTCAAGCAGAGAGAGTCAATTATCATATGGTTTCACTTACTTGTAGAGCATAACAAATAACATGGAGGACATTAGGAGAAGGAAAGGATAAGTGAATTGGAGGACATCGGAGGGGGAGATGAACCATGAGAGACTGTGGACTCAAACAAATGGAGGGTTTTGAAGGGGAGGGGGGAGGGGGTTAGGTGAGCCTGGTGACAGGTATTAAGGAGGGCATGTATTGCATGGAGCACTGGGTGTGGTACATAAACAATGAATCTTGGAACACTGAAAAAAATTTAAAACAAAGAAAATGTAGGGAAACTGATCATGAGTTTGCCTAAGATTTCTTAAGCACATCACAAAAAAAGCATAAAGTATAGAAGAAAAAAATGAATTGGGAAAAATCAATTGAGCTTAATGAGTACTAAGAACTTTTGTTCTTTAAAGATATGTTATAGTTAAGCCAGCACTTTCTAGGGATATGTCCTTGAGTAAGTTCTTTTGTCCTCATGTCCTCCTTTAGCAAACGGAGGTGAAAATATATTCCTTAGGGATATGGTGAAGACTGAATATATGGAATTCAATGCATTTAGTAAAGGTTATTAGGTGTCTAACAAGTTGTATTAGCTATGTACATGAGGCCTTCAATAGCTATAAAAGATTAAAAAAAGACTTATAAAAATAAAAAAAGTTAAGCCCTAGAGAGAGAAAAGCTTAAACATACCTAATAAAAGGACTTACATATAGAATATATAAAGAACACTTAAAGCAAATCATTTTTAATAGTGAAAAATTTGAAGATCTATTACCCGAGATAAAGATGGAAAATAAACACATGAAAAGATGTTCAATATCATTAGTCATTACAGAAATGCAAATTAAAACCACAATGAAATATCATTACATTTCTGCGGGAAGGGCTAAGATTAAAAAGATTAACATTACCAAGTATTAGGAAGACTATGAGCAACTAGAACTCTCAAAGACCGTTGGTGGGAATGATAAATGGTTTAACCACTTTAGGAAACATTTTGGCAGTGTTTTTTAGAAGGTAAACATACACCAACAATGATCCAGTCATTCCACTCCTATGTATTTACTCAAGAGAAAATCCACGTCCATACAAAGGGTTATATACGATCCCAAATGCTTTCCTTATAACAAAAAACTGGAACTTCAAAATGGCCACCAGCTGGTGAATGGATTGACAAACAGTGGTATATCCATGAAGCAACTATTACTTGGCAATTTAGAAGAATGAACTAGTGATATACATATGGATAAATCTCAAAATAATTGTGCTGAACTAAAGAAGCTGGTAGGAAAAAGTTATATACTTGGATTTCATTTATATCAGATTTTTTAAATTGCAAACTCATCTATCATGGCAAAAATCAGTGATTGCAAGGGGGCAAGTAAGGGGGACAAAAAGGGCAGGACAGAAGGATTTCGAAGGGGCAAGAACATCTTGGAGATGATGGATAGGTACATTATCTTGATTGTAGTGACTGTCCTTGGTATAGACATAGGTTAAAAACTCAAATGACATACTTTAAATATGCACAGTTTATTTTATTCCAGTTGTCTCTATATAAAGCTATAAGGAATTACTTGTCTTATGACCCATTCTTCATAGACCTACATGGAAAAGTAGCAAAACAATGTCGGGTGATAGGTGTTTCCTAGCTGGGAATACATCAAATGTATCACTGGGGGTATACTGGTAAAGATCTGTAGGTCAGGAGAACATCCCAACACTACTCAAATCATTCCACAGAACACTGCACACAATGCTCTGTCCTTGTGTGGGGTGTGGCCAGATGCAGCAAAGATGGAAAGACAGTTGACTTATCCATTATCTGGTCACCTTAATAGCAATCAACATGGTTTAATAACTTTGAAAGTCACATACCTGGATTTGTCATTTAATTTAGGATCCTGAATTTTTACTGATGGTTCTTGTAAATCTGAGGAATCTTTTGAAGTGACTTCCAATCATGAAAATTCAAAACAAAAATGGTTAAGCTTCAAGTAAATATGTAAGTATACTACTCAAGTCTTAGTTTTGTTTTTTGTTTTTTTTCAAAGCTGACCTTGTAGGTCATCTGGTTTCCATTTTTCAGGTGAACTATCTGCTGTATTTCTTTGCTGTAGAAAAAAAAATATGGTGACTTTGAAGTCCCTCTTTTAAAGTTCTTTTAGAGTCACTTTACATATCCAAAGAAAAGCATTTCTAAATACGAAGATACTGGGTTTTTACTCATTAGACTGGATTCCTAATGACTGTTGGCGATTTCAAAAAATTGATGTATCTGCCCTCAGGAGTTTTGTCAGTACCAAACACACTATGTTACATTTCTGTGTAATATCCATGTAATCAAATAAGAAAATGAGGACTGGTCTGGATACCTATATATGCCAAACAGTAGGTTAGGATTAAAAACAGGATGTAGAGTATCTAAGGGCTACAGTTTAAAGGAGTTATTACCTCCATTTTATAGATAAGAAGCCTCAGACTCAGTGGTATTAATTTTTCCAAGTTCCTATATCTAGTAAGGAAAGGGACCTCCTTTCCCTATATCTTGGTCTCTAGATTCAAAGTGAAGGAAGGAGGCAGAGCCAGCCAAGTCACACATTCTAAAGACAGCCAAGCTGTGTCAAAGAAGAGAACACATAAACATGTCAGGCAAAAATTATCTAAAGGAGAGGATAGTCCAAAAAAGGGAGAAATGGTTGGTTAGGGGAAAAAAAATAAATGACAAGCCAGGAGAAGTGGCTTCTACCTGTCTGCATCCTGGCAGACACAGTTCAGAATCTGGTACCCAGCATCCCATACTCACGACAGGCTCAGACTGGTCATTTAAGGGGAGAGTTATTGGGCATTGGTCATCTCTGGCACTCATTAACTCTGCCAGCTTGGTGGATTCTTCTTTCTGGTCTATACACAGAGAACAGAGCATTAAAAGTAGTAACAGTAACCATACACCCTGGTGAACGTATTCTCTAATTGCTCTCCATGGGACCCCACACTGTAGGTACATCGCCATCTATTGGTAAGAGCCGGTAGTTACATTCTGCATTAAACTTCCGAATCCAAAATTTATGGGACTTTGAGAAATGGCTTTGAGATTAACTCCTAATAGATACAGGATCTGTGCAGGTCAGCTTTGTGGGTAGCCACAGCCATGACTCTTTTTCTCCTTTGTCATTTCCATTTGACCCACAAGACAATATATTGGGTAGGGAAAAGGATTCAAGGTGGCTAGCAGCTTTGTTCTCTGTAGGTACAATGGTATACTAATTGCTCTCCCACACCACAGGCTTGCAGTGACCTCTTCCAAGTAAGGTTTTATCATTGTTTTCAAAAGGAATTCAGAGTAAGAAATTTTATTTCCCAATATACCTGTCTCTCTTTCAAGGGTGCTAGGAACGTCAAGGTCTTCTTTCTCAAATTTACTAGAAAGTTCTGAGGAGCTTCTTGTCTGGTCAGGCAACATCTAAAATGCAAGCCAAAATCCACATGATCTTTAAAAGAGGAGTAAACTGAACATTTTTGTTAAGGAAAACTTAAGGCTCAGAACACAATATAAGTTAGAAAAGAAGTTAATCTTATTGCCAACTGTAAATGATAAACCCAAATTTAGAAAGTCCCTCTCTATCTGGTTAATTTTAAACATATAAAACCCTTCATCAGAGGCAATGGGGGTGTGGTGGGAAGGTCTGCTTCCTCGTCTGGGAGAAGAAACTATTTTGTCTGTGAATGAGCTCCTTTCTTACTTCTAGACTTGATAATTCTTTGTCCCTTTCTCTACAAGACTTGTTCTTGAATTCATCCTCCCATAAAGCCGAGTTGGAGTTGGAGGTCCTCCCTTTTGGGGTCTCAGCCAGTCTAGCATCAGTGTTAGACCAATTCATATGTAACATGATATAGGAAGTATTTTTTTAATTAAGTGGTTGATTCTACTCTATTTCTCATTCCATCCATGAAATGGTCTTTTCATGTAGTGAGGATTTGGAAACTCTGCTACAGAGCACTTAATAGACTATAACATGTTTTCATGTACAACTCAGTGCCAAAAGGAAATGGGCCCCAGCCTTCTTCCTTCAGTTCTCTGATCGCTTAACTCAACCTCCTAATGGCCACTACCACAGTATCTTAGGTCCTTTTTTTTTTTTTTAAATCACAAATATCTTTGCTCTGCCTGCCATCTGTGATAAAGGCATTGCACATTTTTAAGGGTTTAAATTATTATTTTTTTAGATTTTATATATCATAGAAAGATCCCACACAAGCAGGGTAAATTATGTCAGGCAGAGGGAGAAGCAGACTCCCTGCGGAGGTACTTGATCCCAGGACCCTGCAATCACCCTGAGCCAAAGGGAGAAGCTTAACCATCTGAGCCACCCAGGTGTTCCCACGGCATTGTGCTCTTGCATGTAAATAGGATACATTATAATGAGTGATATGGAGGCCATAGCATTCTTGAAGAGTAGCGGGCCATTTCACCTGAAGACCAGGAGACCAAACTTTAGAAAAACTCCTTAAGAGATGTTATTTCTAGTGATTCCCTTCAGTTCTCAAGGATTAGAGGAAGAGAAGGAAATGCTGAGAAGCCCACAGCAAGTACCCTCAAAACTTCAGGAAGAATGTGGCGAGGTAGGCATGTTATCCTAGAAAATTTTCAACGGTTCACAATAAATGGTTTAAAGCCTTTTGAGGTAAAAAGAGACTTTGTGTCTGACCTAAGGCAATGATCTATGGAAAGAACTGGGATTAGAACCCCGACTCTCAACTCTCATTACATGATATTCCAAAGATTAAGCTATCTGCTTGAGCAAATGTTCACATCAAAACCCAACAAGCAAGGTAGAAACAGGAAAAAAACACACGAAAACATTTTCAAATAATCAAGAACTATATCTGCCACCTGTCTGTCTTCTCCTAAAGCTTCAATGGAAGCTTGTGATATGTTGAATTGCGAATCAAAGTGGACCTCTATTTTCATCACTTCTTTGTTGTCAATATTAATAGGTTTCTTCAGGCAAATAATGAGGATCTTCCTATTTTCAGTTTCTATCAACAAAAAAGAACAAAGTATGCATATGCATATCAACATAATAAAAAAATTAAGTTCTATAACTTCACTGGGATATTTGTCAGTTCAGATTTTCTGCAGTAAGATGAAAGATTGTATTAAATGAAGTTACTTTGAAATTATTTTTGTTAGATTCACCTTTGTGTGTGTGTTTATACATACAAATATACACAATAGGACTGTGTTTGATCTTCAAAGATAGGAAGTAACTTACCTTAACAGCAGAACTTTGGAATCAAAACCTCGGAAATGGTTTTGATGTCTATAGAATTCAATCTGATTTGTAAGGAGCATTTTTTTTTTAATACAAAGCATTCACCTATAGCAGGTATTTTACCCCCCAATATATTAAACAAGATTCATTCCCATTCTCTCCGATGTCCTTCACTTCTGAAAATTCAAAATAAAAATCACTATTCCCCATACACAAAAACGGAATCACCCTCCTTCATTTCAACAGACTCTACTTAAGGAGGAGGCTCCTGTGTGCCCAGAGGGACCGGTGTCTCCGACGACAACAGTCTCCTTGAGGGCCTCTTACCAGGACACCTGCTCTCTACCAACAAATAGTAATTGGTTTCAGGAAACCGTTTTGACCAAAATTCATGAGGAGTTCAACAATGAGCCACAGTAACTACAAGCTGAGTCCCAAGCTGCAGGAAAGAAAAACAAACTGCCCAAAAGAACAGGCAAAACGAAGGGTCACGCATTGAGGAGAATGAAGAGAAGAAGAAAGAATGAGACACATGGGTCTGGACCTGTGGCCCCCACACACCAAAAACATGGCTAGTGCAAACTCATGTGCCAGAAGCATAAAACATATCACCAGTTTGTGATGACTTCACACACAAAAAAGAGCAGGCAGAAGATCTCACTTGTTAAAGCGATTATGTGTTAAAATGTTAATATTTAGGATATACCGGGTGAAATTTTTTTGAAATATAGTATTTTGAAATCAATCTACTTTTGGACTTTTTAATAGGCTACTGTAAGATTTTAAATATGTCTGACTCAATGGCACCACACACCCCACTCCTGCGTTCTCCCCAGGACCTGCTCACTCCAATAGGTCTGTGGCTGAGCACATCCAAGGACGTATCACAAGCCTGGCAGTGTGCAAGCAGCTGCTACAGGAGCCACCACCACCCTAAAGTGACTCCTGCTCTAGGTAGAGGGAAAGATGACCGCGTATACCAGGCTCACGGTGGGCCTGAGCCATGGGGGCAGGAGAGACAGGCATCTAGTCTGACTGCAAGGCCTCTCCAACCAATGAAATCTTCTCAGAATACAACACAGGGAAAGAGCCTTGCAATTTGGTACTATGTCATTTCCCAGACCCCTGGTCTGACTCAATTTAAGCCCAAGGCAGCCCCAGATGGACCCACTAAAAACCCAGGGACTAAACCCTGCCACAACAGGCAGAGCCACTGCAGACAAATGGACTGAATGCGAATGTGGCTTAGCCACAATAGGACACGTGCAACAAATAAGGGGGATGTTCATGAAGTGTCAGGTTCTAGTGAACAGGGGACATTGCACTGCGGGGCAGTACGGGACCTTTTCTTCATAATGCCCCTACTTCCAAAAGCAGGAGGCATAGCAGACTCTCAAAACACATAGAAAGAGACAGACAAAATGAGAGAGGAATACGTCTCATATGAAAGAACAAAATTATAGCAAGAGCTAAATGAAATAGATAATATTCCTGATAGAATATTTAAAGTAATGGCCAGAAATATATTCCCTGGTTTTGAGAAAAGAGTGGGAGACCTCAGTGAGACCACCAACAAAGAGACAAAACAAAGAATCAGAGATAAAGACCTCAGTAACTGAAATTAAAAATATACTAGATGGAATAAACATACTAAAAGGAGAATAGGTCAATGACCTATTCCTATTTAGGTCAATGACCTATTCCTATTCCACTTGACTGAAAGCTATCAAGTGGAATAGGAGAAAAATAAAGTGAAAATAGACTAAGGAAACACATCAATACTACCAAGTGTAACATTTACATTATAAGATTCCCAGAAGAAAAGAGGACAGAAAACCTATATGAAGAAATAATAGCTGAAAATTTCCCTCTTCTGGAGAAGGATACATACCCAGATCCAAGAGGCATACAATCACCAACAAAAATCAACCCAGTGAGGTCCACAACAAGATATACAGTTAAAATGGCAAAAAGTAATATAAAGAGAATTTTAAAAACAGCAAGAGAAGACAGTTACAAACAAAGGAAACACCATAAGACTATCAGCTGATTTTTCAGAGAAACTTTGAATATATCATTAACTCCCTCTGGCTCCCTCAAAGTGCTAAAAGAAAAATCCTGGGTCACCTGGGTGGCTCTGTCACTAAGCATTAAGTGACAGCCTTCAGCTCAGGGCATGATCCCAGGGTCCTGGGATAGAACCCTGCATTGGGCATCCTGCTCAGCAGAAAGCCTGCCTCTCCCTTGCTCACTTCCCCTGCTTGTGTTCCCTCTCTCGCTGTGCTTCTGTCAAATAAATAAAATCTTTAAAAAAGACAGACAGACATTGATCAAAAAAAAGAAAAATCTTGCAACCAGGAACACACTATCCAGCAAGCCTATCATTTAGAATAGAAGGAGAGCTAAAAAGTTTCTCAGAAACAAAAGTTAAAGGAATTCATGACAACTAAACCTGTCTTACAAGAAATGTTAAGGACATTGAGTGGAAACGAAAGGCAATAAGAGTAAGAGAAGCAAGTGTGGGAGGCCACGGTAAGGCTTAGATGAGAACCAAACCAAGCCCTGACTTGTGCCTCCTTTAAAGGCTGAATAGTGGAACAGAAGGCTTAGGTCGATAAAGTCGAGCAGCCCTGAGAAAGGGTCTGTGCTATGTGTTGTGCGCTCACCTACGTGACTTCCCACACGTTCGCTAGTCAGATAGAGACGATTTGGCGGGGGTCAGAAGTTCTTGGCTGGTCCTTGCTATCCTTGCACGGGCTATAGACTACACCACTGTAAGACTGTGCTGTGCTTACATAAACTGTGTCTTGGGTGGCCTTGAAGTCCGTACATCTGGCGCTAGAGGGTCTGCTATTGGTGCTTGGGAAATTGATAATGGGAAAGCTTGAAGGATTTCCTGTGCTTGTTGCAAACTCTTTAGTAATCAGCTAAAAATAGATACTTTTCTTATGATTGCTTCTGTTAGTTATATAATGCCTCACAGCCTTGAATAAAATCAGCACTACTGGACATCCTCCTTGGTGCTCCTCCTGACCCATCTCTTTCTCTCTTAATTTCTTTTCAGCATCCTCTTACCCTCTCGACCCTGGTCGATTTGTCGCGCTGGCCGCGACAAGCAAGAAATATAAAAGCAGTAAAACTTGGTACCTCTATAAAAATCAGTCAAGGGATTCATAAAGTAAGAGGATGTTAGTATAACACCATCTACCTAAAACACGGGGGTGGGGGCGGGTAGAGGAGTAAAGAATGGATTCAAACTTAAGCGACCATTGCCCAAGTATAGATTATTATATGTATAAGAGGTTATAAACTCAATGGTAACCACAAATCGAAAACCAGTAACAGATTTACAAAGAATAAAGAGAAAGGAATCCAAGCATAGGACTCCAAAAAGCCAGCCAACAGTAAAGAGCAAGAAGGGAACAAAGAACTAAATAACCACAAAACAAGTAACAAAATGGCAATAAGTACATACTTATCAGTAAATCTTTGAATGTAAATGGACTAAACACGCCAAAAGACGGTGACGGAACAGATAAAAAAGCAAGACACATCTATATGCTGCCTATAAGAGTCTCATTTCAGATCTAAAGATACATGCAGATTAGAAGTGAAGGGATGGAAAATTATTTGTCATGCAAATGGATGTGAAAAGAAAGCTAACAATATTTCTATCAGACAAAATAGACCTGAAAACAAAGACTTGTGATCTGTCTGCACTCTGCCTTGACCTCCTTGTGTGGCCCCTGGAGGTGTACTGGGTACTTCCCTCCAGGATCTGAGGAATGAGGTTATGAAGGCACATTGTTGAGAAAAGATGGTGGTGGAATGAATAGGAGGACTGTAGGCTTATTTCATCCCACAAACATGACTAGATAACTATCAAATCATCCTGAATACCCCAAAAGTTGTTCTGAGGATGGACAGAATAAATGCCACAACTAAAGGGAGAGAAGAGGTCACACTGAAGAAAGTAGGAAGTATGGATCTCTGGTGCTGTGGAGGGGAGAGAGCTGGTCTCAATGAAAGGCAAGGGAGTACACAGGAGAACACACAAGGAAAACATTTCTCCAAAGTCATTGGCTTGGAAAATGAGAAGGGCTGAATTTTGTGAGGTCTGGCAACCAGCAGGGCTTTAAAAGTCTGGAGTTTTAAAGGTCACTGGTCTTGGCTGTGATAGAGCCTAGAGGGCATGGACTGCTTCTGGAGACGAGGCAGGAAAACCACCTGGGGGCAGGCTCTGTCATTTAGGCATCATCCAACTCTTGGTTTCAGCTCAGGTCATGATCTCACAGTGGCGAGAAAGCCCCACGTCATGCTCCGTGCACAGCATGGAGTCAGCCTGAGATGCTTTCCCTGTTCCGGTTTTAAGTACCTGCTCTCCTTCTCCCAACTTCTCCCGCCATAAAACATTCTCCATGTTAACCACTCTAAAATATATAGTTCAGTAGCATTAAGTGTATTCACATTGTTGAACCACAGATCTCTGGAATTGTGTCTTGCAGATCTAAAACTCTATCCGTTAAGCAGCAGCTCCCCATTTCCTTCTCCCCACAGGCCCTACTCTACTTCCTGTCTCTATCACTTTGAGAGATATCCATAAATGTAATGATAGGATATGTGTTTTGATTAGCCTACTCACGTAGTGTAATGTCCTGAAGGTTCATCCTTATTGTAGCATGTGCCAGACTTTCCTTTTAAAGCTGGATCATATTCCATCCTTATTCACCATTAGATGGACATTTGGGTCACTTCTACCTCTTGGCGATTGAATAATATTGCAACAAACATCGGTATGTCCATCTGTTTTCAAGTCTGATATCTAGAAGTGAAATTGCTCTCACATGGTGATTCTGTTTTGAAGTTTCTGAGTGACTATAACTATTTTTACAATAAAAAAAAAAAACTCAGGAAAATAATTGAATCCTGAAGTCACAAAGTGAAGGAGTCCTCAACCTTGTACCCTTGCACCCTGGTCCTGAGCAGTGTTCCTTCCATCACACTATACCATCTCCCTCCTACCTCAAAGGACAAAGTCTGCTCTAGAATCAGAACTAAATGTGGAGTGGTTTAGAATTATCTTACCTAGTACGCTGAAATTAACCACTGCTTCCTTCAAAAGTCTTACTGAGTCCCATAGAGCACTCTGGAAAAAAATAAGTTACGTTCATGAGCACATAATGTATTTGCATATAAACAATCTCTAAGCACTTGGTTTAAGTAGGAATTAAACACAGTTACCTTACTATTGTCTATATAAAAAGTGACACTCTGACTTCCGAGGTTGAAGTCAATCCAAAATTTCTCTAGTTTTTCATCTTCTGGTTTTCTCATCTGTAAGATGTAATTTCAACATGAATTGTGTACATATACTGTTAAAGAGTCAGAGGGAAATTAGTCCACTAAAAACAACTTCTGCTTTTCTTGGAAAAACACTACTTTAATACTGTAGGAGGTCTTTATTGCCTTACTTCTGCAAAGCAGGAGGAAGGTCTTAACTTCATATAACTAAGGTATTTCTGGAAAAAAAAAAAAACCACAACCACTATCCTTAGTTTAACATTTGAAAGATGTTTAAATGTGTCAGAGGACTCTATTCACATATTTCCCCCCTGAGAGAATTATAAGAAAGTAGTCCTATATTGAAGCAGAAACAATAGAAATACTGCATAGAAATGGAAACTTTAAGAAAAGGAGGTATTATCAAATATAAGCGATTATTTGCCATCTACCTTACTATATCCATTAGAGCTAAAATGTGAAGATTTCAAATTACCTTCATTTTAATTGATTGTAAAATAAATAGGTGCTTATAGGAAAAAAAAGCTTCAAACCACATTGTTTATAGAAACAGTCAATGTCTCCTTCTCTGCCCTTCAACTTGGTATCTTTCCAGAGAAAGATTAACAATGTCTTTGTTTCCTCCCAGATGTTTTCTAGACATATCAGAAATATATGAAGAGTTATCTTAAGACTGGGAAAAAACAATAGACCACTTGCTTTTCTGAAAATGGCATTTCTTGGGCAACTTTCCATCATATGTGCTTATTTCTTTGAATGAAGGCTTTAACTATAATCTATGTTATGGGAAGCCAGTTGAGGGCCATGTTGAAGCTGATGAAAATTTAGAAGTCCAAAAAAAAAAAAAAAAAAAAAAATCTACCACCAAGCAGATACTGGAAACTTCAGATAACCAGAGGAATAAAAATAGAGATACAGAAATCAATCAGGCTAGTAAAATCAGTCCTAGGGAGAAGAAACTTGTGGTAGAGTCAGGAGTTAAAGGTTCAGCTCACAGAGGCTGAGAAACAGCCTCTAAACCCAAAGCAAGGAAACGGTTGAGGACATTTTGATGACAAGGTCCAGGAAACCTCAGCTGAGTCAAGGTTCATAGGTCTTTGAAGAATGTATCCCCTGTGAAGATGCTGTGGGTGGACCTTGTTCATTTAGAAACTGAAGAAGGTGGTAAAAAGAAACCACTCACCCTTTGACTGTAAAATACAACGTAGAAATATCTTGTGAAAAGACAGCCCCCAATTTCTGTGGATAAGGTGGGGAGCATCAAATGGAAAGAATCAAGGGAATGGTTCTTTTCCTTACAATACAGGCATGAATAATGGTATCCACTAATAGGGTAAAAATAATAAAATAAAATAAATAGGGTAAAATAATGCCAGATTCCTGTAATAGATCTCATGAACACAGTATCAACCCTAAAATTCCTGTATCTGGCATTAACAATAGAACCCTTAAACTTATTAGTAATGCATCCCAGTTAGAGCAGGAGAGAAGACAGGCAAAGAAAGGCTTTGGAATGGAGACCTCTAAAAGAAATAAGCTTCCTTTCCTAAAAAGCCCTTCTTTTAGGGAGAGCAGTTTGGCCTAAGTATGTATACCTAAGTTAGGGTCTATGAGACCCATATATGCCACTTTCATAGCCCCAGAGATGAACATACCTCATGCCCATCAGCAAAAGCAGCAATACACGGAAATGAATAGACCCTGCAAAACATTTCACAATGTAGAAAATATAATATGGGCGGATACACAACACAACTTACACATATATAACAAGCATTTTTATCTAGGGTATATGATTAAATCTCTTTGCATAAAGTATGAAAGAGGGTCTCAAACCTACAAATGGATACTACTCTGGGGAGATTTCCAGTCTCCATCTGGCTAGTATACAAGTCCAGTTTACTGGTCTACCAGCCAGGCTTACTAATACTCTATCTCTGCCTAGTTGCTGGGCCAGATTACAATGAAAGGAGTGCACTTAGCAAATTCTCATCAAGAACACTTTGTAATAAACCTATCTTTACAGACTTAAAATCTTCAAATAAAATCATTTCATAAAATCTCCTAGGGAACATGTTAAATATATTCCAAAGCATAAGTAAATATTGTAAAAAAAAAAAAAACCTGATAGAGGTAATTTTTAAACACATACAAATGAATCACTACGGAGAATGGATCTAATCTCCTGACATTTCTATTCAATGGATAATCTAGTAGTGATAAGTTACGTATTTTCTATTCTCTCCTGAAATAGAACGGATCCTAGATTTCTAATATTAGATATTTTCAAAATAAAATGACACCCAGAGACATACTTACCTTTTCTTATCACCAAGTCGGTTATTTAGGTAATTGAGAAACCGTCTACTATCCTTCAAAGAAATAATGCAAACTTTAAGAAAAAAAAAGCTTTTACCATTTTTTTACCAGCTTGTAGAAACTAGGGTTTGCTTCTGAATTCCCAGGATCCAGTACATCACAGGGTTCCACCAAGATTCATTATTACAGGTTAATTAAAACAATACACTGTGTTAGAAAGGGGAAACTTCAGACCCAAATTCAGATCCAAACCCCCAGCCAGGAGATTTTCAGCTGAGGAATGCTTTAAGTTTCCAAAGTTTATGTGCACAGTTACATTTCACTGGGTTGAAGGGAAAAGAAATACATTTAACTAGTGACCTAGATTACAGTTTATATGCTAATCCACTGGGGATCCATCTTGTTAATATCTACCCAGGACGAGTCAACCACAAACCCATAAGCTTATACATTTCGGGTTTATTCTGGGAGCATTATCCATTGCCAATTTTCATCATCAAGAGTTCTCTACCCCATTCCTTCTTGGTTTCTCTCTTCTCACACAGGTTCTGAGAATAAGGATTATTGTTAGAGAGTTCTCCTACCCGGAAGCCAGGAAGAAGGTAAATTTGTTGCCTCCAAAATACTAAAGCTGAACAGACACCAATCCAGGTTTTTGTCCCTTTTCTTAGGGAGGATTGAATATTGTAATCCCTCCTTACAATCCACATCTTTATGCAGCACTAAATAGACAGCAGCTATGTAAGCCTTGACCTAAAAGTAGTTCCATTAAGAAGACAATGGCTCTATAGGGGAAAGGATTTGAGAAATGTTACTTTTGACTGATTTTCGTGGAATTTCCTTGACCACGAGGGGATAACGAAGAGGAAAAAGGGAACTAACCTCTGAGTCTACAACATCCCAGACACACTGGTTTCTCTCATTCAGTTCTCATAGCTTTAAGGTGGGTTTTATTCCTATCTCACAGGTAAGGACACTGAGGCTTCATAAGTCAACTACCTTACCAAAGTGCGTGCATCATGTAAGCCATGGAGGTAGACTCAAACCAGAGGCTTATAGTCTTTCCATTTCCATCAAAAATCAATACTGGTTAAACAACTACTACCTATCTGTCAGTAGGCTCAAAGTTAATATTTTAAGTATATTTAAAACTTCAGATTTAATAAAATTCTAATTGCATAGTGGTTTTGACCAGAAAAGCTTGGTCCAACACGAGCATGGTTACTAAGAATTTTACTTTTTCCTAAAGGACCTAACCTTCATTGTAAGAACTTTTAGAGAGAAGAGGAAAACCATTTGAGCTATTTTAGGATGAAGGTGAATATGCAGCAAACTATAACCTATTTTTGTGCTATTTGGGGGTATAATCACCATGAACCCAGACTGCATGGAAAACACTGGAAATTACTATTCCTCTAAAATAGAGAGGCCTGATGGTTCAAAGCACAACTGCCCATAATACTCCTCCAACTAGTTCACCCCATGCCAATTTCAACCTCCCCTCATTGCCCCAGCTGCTCTGTACAAGGCTGAAATGCACATTTTCTCTAGCTCTCCTACCATCTGAGATTCACTGAAATTTGTTCCCCCCCATGACATTTTCTTGGGCTGGGTCCATCATATTCACATCACCTGTCTCCAGTCCAAATTACCTTTAAAAAAAAAATCTGTATGCCCATATTTGGTACAGATATTCTGCTCAGTCCTCAGATCATTTCACATAAATGAGAAATAGGAAGCTTAAGAATGGCTCCTTATTCACTTAATCAGTTCTTAATTTAAGAAAATCTCCTCCCCTGAGCCCAGTGTTGAAGAAAACACTGAGGATGTTTAATAAGTATTGGGTAAGTAGACTTTTGATGACCAGGAATCTCACCGTCTCAAATTCTCGATCTTTAATTTCTTTGAAAGCTTCAGCAATTACATCATCTTCAAACCACTCATGAACAAGCTCAGCCCTTGATTTTTTCAAGGTCAGTCTACACAATGCTTCAGAAAGTGCAACCTGCTGGTCATAATCTAGAGATTAAAAAATGGTAGGTTATTCTGAGGTGGGCATAAAGCAAAAGAAAAAAAAAAGGAGTTCTACAGATTAACACTTGTTCTAAGAAATATGTAATATTTGTATTTTGTATTATTTGTATTTTGTATTATTTGTATTTTGTATTATTTGTATTTTGTATTATTTGTATTTTGTATTATTTGTATTTTGTATTATTTGTATTTTGTATTATTGTAATATGTATCCCATGTATTTTGTAATATGTATCCTATGTATTTTGTATTATTTGTATTTTGTATTATTGTAATATGTATCCTAAAGCACCATTACTTAAATTCAGTATTTAACATTAGCAGAAAATCTAAATAGGCCAGCATATAACAATTAAAACATTTCTACATTTTATGTTTTATATTAAAACACTCATCAAAACAGCCCCAACAGTCTTAATATTACAAAAATAAAATCAGAATAAACTGATACTTCATGACTGATAAAACCTAACATCTTTAAATTTCAAGTAATTTTAAGGATAAAAAGTAAGCTGCAGCCAGATATGTACAACAGGAGGACATTTATAGAATGCTTTTAAAATTTGCAAAGCAATGTATGAAGTAATGAATCACTAAATTCTACTCCTGAAACCATTATACTGTATGTTAACTAAAATTTAAATAAAAATTAGAAAAAATAGTGTATGTGGTTTATGAATACATAGAAGTAGAAGAACATACTTTTGATTGAAAAAACAAATCCAAGGCAAGGATTACCTCTACCAGTGGGGAGGAGAATGGGATCAGGGACATGTACACCAGAGGTTTTACATGTAACTGGTTTATTTTACGAAAAAAAACAAAAACAAAACCAACAACAAAACAAAAGACCAAAAAAACCAAGACCATGTAAATGTGGCAAAATGTTAGAATTTGACTAAGCTGGTTGGTGAGGAAATGAGTATTCATGAATTATTCTTTATGGCTTTCAGCATGCTAAAACTTTATAAAATTAGAAGTGAAGTGTTCTTCCTATTTTCAACTTGACCATAATTTTTACCCATAGTTCTAAGATGCTCACAAAACCCCCAATTGTCCAACATGTAATACTCTAATATTTAAAATTCTAAACAATTCTTACCACCCACAGTCAAGATTGTCCTTGCAAGGTCTTTCCTGAAACATTTAGATAAATAACATTTTACTGAAGTGTACATAAAACTTTATTCTATTGGTATTAAAATTTAAAACCAAGATGCAGGGGTGCCTGGGTGGCTCAGTAGTTGGGCATCTGCCTTCTGCTCAGGTCATGATCCCAGAGTCCTGGCATAGAGCTGCCCCCGCCCCCCACCTGTCCGTCTCTGCTCGGTAGGAAGCCTGCTTTTCCCTCTCCCACTCACCCTGCTTCCATGTCTCTCTCGCTGTCAAATAAAATAAATAATATCTTAAAGAAACAGTTGGATTTTCACTGACAAACACTTGAAAAATAAAAATACAACCAAGATGTATATTTTTTAAAATGTAGAGAGAGCACACGCATGAACAAAGGAGAGGGGCAAAGGGAGAAGCAGTCTCCCCTCTAAGCAGGAGCCCAACACGGGACTTGATCCAGGACCCTGGGATCATGACCTGAGCCAAAGGCAGATGCTGGACTCAGCCCCCAGACCCACCCACCAAGATGTGTATTTTTTAAATTATTTCAAACTCAGCATCAGAATTTCTTAAATGTCAAGAATACATCTTGACATATTTCTTAAATGTCAAGAAAAGTTAATGACTTAAAAACATTTTTTAAAAGAGACTAGAGTTCTTATACATTCAGAGGCAGTATTGCTCCTTCTGTAAAGGGAATTCAATTGGAGGATGTCTGAAGATCAACAAATCCTAAGATTCTGGAATTTTATAGTCCTCTCACCAACTTGCATGAATATATTTTTTGAATAAATCTTTTTAAAAACATAGTTGACACCTGAAAGAAATGCTACAGTAGGTGCTGTGAGTCCTTCCAGTGAGCTCTTGAATAGCTTTTAAAAACTGGTAATTTTAGCATTATAATGTAAAAATTAACCCTCTTACATCCAACAACAGATTCCCACATTATATAACAATTTCAGTTAAATGCTAACAAGTATGATACTGGTCTTCTAATGTCTCAAATAACTCCCATTTTAAGAAATAGATTGGCCAAGAAATCTTGTAGTTCAATTTCTCATAAACAGATTGCTTTGTTACTATTAAGAAACCTTGCCTTAAAATAGTACCACTACTTTGTGCTTGCAGACTTTATATCTAACCTTAAGTCTGGAACATTCCAGACTTTTTAGGACACACAGTAAGGCAGGACCATACAATTAGTTTGAAAATTTAGGAGAAAACATCGGATCAGTTGTTCTCCAATTCTAAATATAACATTAAGAGTAATGGTTAATTTAATCTAGTTAGATTTTTTTTTTTAGGAAATATTCAGTAGAAAAACTGCATCCTGCAAACACTAGTTAAATGAACAAACATGACAGCAGTGGGCTCCATGTTCCCTATCACTTCATTCAGGCCTATAATATGACAGACTTGGCTGCCCTTCCTCTCTTCCGTCATGGCTGCAGGTCACGTGAATGACGGCATACCACAATAGGTCAATGATGCTGGTTGGTGGCTAGCACGGTAACACATTTAGGTTCAAATTTTGAGTAGGGAGCTGGTTCTGCTTTTCACGGCCACACATTACAACCTTACTCCTAAATTTCAATGTCCCAAGAACTACATAGTCATAACTAGGCCATCAAAAAAACAAAAATCCACTGTTTTTTTTTTCCCCATTTTTGAAAAGCAATACAAATGCCAATGGCATAGCTGAAAGTTGGTAGCTTTTGAGCATTTGCTACTAAGTAACATGGTCATCACTTTGAATGAGTTAGTTCATTCAAACTGTATAATAACTATCAAGGATTACAGTTGGCTCCACTTTACAGGTGAGCAAAGAGAGGTGGCAAAAACAGATCTGAAGCCCAGCAGTCTGGTCCAGAGTCTACACTCTTAACAATCTCCTATGAGGCACTAATTTAACTCACATTCACAGAGGAAAAAATAACCTATAGCCCAAGAAAGCATCTCAGCTCACAAACTTGACAAATATACTATTAAGAAAGAACTTAGCAAAGTCTAGCTTTTTCCCCTTAGTCCTCCGTCACTGTTAGCGCAGAGCCTGTGCACAGCAGGTGCACAAAGCATTTACTGAAGAAAGCAATGAAGGCATCAGGTCTAAGGAGAACAGAGACAGAGGCAGTACAACCAGAGAGTTTTTACCCTTACAGCATCCCATAATCAAGTACAAGGTCACTTACATAAGACGACTTGGGCCTTCCAACAAAGGGAGTCGTCTTCGCTCTTCCTGAGGCATGTCATGCAAAATGGAGTTCAAAGTTTTCAAAGCCTGGAGACAGGGAAAGTATTTACAGGGAAGAAACATGGAGGCCGATTGAACAACCCTCTCAAAGACCTTTAGAGCAACTGTTAGCAGATTTGTTACTTGCAACTCACCTCCTGTTGAATCAGATGACTTACAGTCTTTTCTGTCACCAGAAACCCTAAGGTAAATATGAAGGAATCCAAAATCTGCATTTTCCCTGAAAGCATAATTTTAGAAAAATCAAACGGATGCGAAGAATAAGGAAATGATTCCCACAAAACAGGAAGAGGCAAAGACTGGAAACACCATGAGAGCAGTGAACATTTTAGAAATTGAGACAGTCTGGGCAATAAGACAGGATAAAATACACTTGCAGCGTTTAGACCTTCATTGAGGAAAAGAGCAGCATACACAAAGTGTGGCTGTGTGTGATTACCTTGTCTCAAGCAAAGCTACATTTTTTTTTAATCCAGGCTGAGGGACAGATATACAAAGGATAGCTACTGTAGTTTTGTTTCTCACATTGTATATTTCTCCAAAAATAAAAATTTTAAAGGTCTTATGCTAACAAAAGCAGGGTTTAAACAAAGTATTGACCTTTATTAAACAGCATAATTATAGAAGCTTCAGTTATTTATGTCAGTACATAGTAAAAAGAAATGGGTATGTGATTATCCTCTTATTGTATATAATATCAATACTAGAGTTAATATTATTAATTACTAACCGTATTTATAATACTACTTAATAGTATAATTATTGATATTACTATATAATGTTGATTATATTAATTATCCTGCTTATTAAACTATGGTTTCATTTATGCACATTAAGATATAAAATTATAGTACATTTATGAAAAATGAGAACATTTATGTTAAGATCATAACATTATTTTCATAGGTTCAAAGGTGCAATTTTGATATATAGATTTTTTTTGTCACATGTCATATAGTTTTTGTCACATGTCATATACTCACCCCCCGTAGAACTCATGAGACTGTATAAACCCCAAAGCAGAAAAATAGAAGTAAAAAAGATTCTTCTATCAAAAAAAGCCAGATGGATACTGCTGGATGAGCTCTGGAAATCAGAAGTTTGGCTAAGAGCTGTGCCAACAACTTGCCTGCCAGTTTAAAACTTGAAGATTTCAACACAGCCCAAATGGACAGCAGAGGATCCTAAAAACATTTATGTACCTGTTAATTAGCAACTATCGGGTGTCCTGTCTTTTCATTTACATAGTAAAGAAAACAAATAGAGCCTTAGAAAAGGGAAAGAGGAACACTGCCATTAGGTAGCAGAAAAGGGACTTTTTAAAAAGTGCTTACTTCTGGAAATGAAGATTTAAGAAGCACGTGACTGATCACAAAAAACTTAAGAGAACATGAATTCCAAGAAAGAGTCTCCACCCTCAAAAAGCCAGCATAATAACCTGTCCTGAGACTCGGCATGAAAGTAACAGTTTCAAAAGTATCTGGGGGCACACACTGAAGAAATTGATTTACTAATCTCAGTATGTGGTAGGGGGCAGGAATCTTTAGGAGACTTCTCTAAATACAAAAATGCTGGTGGGCACCATTTTTCTTCCTGTCCCTCAGCTTACGTAGCTGGACATTTACTAGAGCCAGCAGTGACACTCTCCCCCAGTCTTGCTAGAACCACAGGCCCCACCCCCAGTGCTCCCTTACAGACCTGCCCCATCCAACCCACCTGCCTTAGAAGCCATCCTTACAGAGTGGCTCCTACCCCACCACACAATGCAAGGTGCCCCAGTGGGAAACCAGCACCACTCTAAAGAGACTACTGCCCTGGAGAGAAGGAAGAAATAATCCCACACACCAGTTTGCCCACAGTTCCAGCAGCCAAGCCTTTCCACTGATCACAGAGGGAGAAAGCCCTGCCATTAGGTACGCTTGCAACAAAGAGGCTGATTGCACATACCTAGTCTGACTGCCAATCCCATCCACCAATGAAAGCCTCTGAGCCACACAGGGAGAAAGGCTGGTCATCTGATACACTCACAGAGAGGCTAATTCCAGACAACCAGACCGACTGCTGACCTTGTCCACCTACCAGCCCACAGAGGCCTTACACAGGCCCCTCAATGCTGCGTGGATCAAACCCTGCCCAGTGTACCCACAGGAGGCATAGTGGGTCTATGGAGCTGACTGGGGTGAAAACACAGCTAATCTCAACAGTAAGGTATATGCAGCCCACATAGGAGAGACCCCAGCTTGTGTGGTTCTGATGACCAGAGGGCATGACACTACAGGGAACCACTGAACTTCTATACAAGGCAACTACTTTCTAGCCTAGAAGACATAGCTATCCCTCCCTAACATATAGAAAAAGACAGAGTGAGGAATCAAGAATAGGTCTTAAATGAAAGAACAGGACACAAACCACAGCCCAAGAGCTAAAAGAAATGGAGATAAGTAATGTAATAGAGAATTCAAAGTAATGGCCATAGAAATACTCACTCGACTTAAGAGTGAGAATGAGAACAACAAAGATAGAAAATATGAAACAAGTCAGATGAAGAACTCAAGAACTGGAACAAAGCAACAACAAAAACAAAACTAGAGGGAATCAGTAGTATATTAGAAGAGACAAAAGAACAATTCACTGATCTGGAAGACAGGGTAATGGAAAAGAACCAAGCTGAACAGCAAAAAGTGAAAAATGAGAATAGGTTAAGGGAATTCAGCAACATCAACCACAGTAACATTCGCATTGTAAGGATCCCAGAAGGAGTTAAGAAATGGGCGGAAAACTTATTTGAAGAAATAACTGAAAAATTCCTAAACTGGAGAAGGAAACAGACAGCCAGACCCAGGAAGCACAGAGAAATCCTAACAATGTAAACCCAAGGAGGTCCACACCAAGACACATAAATACGAAAAATGACAAAAAGGAGTTAGAGGATTTTAAAAGCAGCAGAGGAAAACCGTTACATTTAAGGGAGACCTCACAAAGCTATCAGCTTATTTTTCAGCAGAAACATTGTGAGCCAGAAGGTAATGGAATGATATATTCAAAGTGCTAACAGGAAAAAAACCTATAACCAAGAGTATTCTAACCAGCAAGGTTATCATTCAGAATAGGAGAGATAAAGTTTCCCAAACAAAAGCTAAGAGTTTTCATTACCCTTAAACCAGCTTTACAAGAAAGGTTAAAGGGAATTCTTTGAAAAGGAAAGGCCATGACTAGAAAGTTCTAAGAATTCACAGGTAAAAGCAGTTATAATTATAGTGGATTCAATCATAAAGCCAGTTTGTGAACACGCAGTTTGTTAACACGCAGTAGTAATACAATCTGCTCTATCTACAGGAAAAAACAGTCAAGGGTAGACAAAATAAGACAATGCAAAATATATCATATACATAAAACATGGAAGGTGGAGTAAAAATGTGGTGCTTTTAGAATGTGTTCAAACTAAAGTAGCTATCAACTTAATAAAAGCTGCTATGTACACACAAGAGGACATATATACCTAGTGGTAGTCATAAATAAATAAAAAAACCTCTGACACATACACAGAAGAAAAAATGCAAGTGTAACCCGAAAGAAAACCTTCAAACCACAGGGGAAGGGTGCCTGAGTGGCTCATTTGGTTGAGCAACTGCCTTCGGTTCGGGTTGTGATCCTCGAGTCTCGGATTGGACCCTGTGTCAGGCTCCCCACTCAGCAGGGAGTCTGCTTCTCCCTCTAACCATCCTTTCTCTCATGCTCTCTCTCAAATAGATAAATAAAATCTTTAAAAACAAAAAACAAACAAACAAAACCACAGGAGAAGAAACCAGAAGATACATGAACAAACAACTGAAAAACAATTAAAATGCCAATACATACCTATCGATAATTACTTTAAATGTAAATGAACTATTTCCATTACAGGGAAGGTGGGGTAAGAAAACCCTGAGGTGACCTCCTCCCACTGATATAAATTAACACTCAACAGCATAAATATCCCAGAAAACAACCTGAAGACAGGCATAACAAACTCCACAAAGGTATAGAAGAGGCCATATTGGAGAGGATAAGAAGGGCGGAGAGGAAGTGGAGAGCAAAACTGACAGCAGCCGTTCATGGCGGGTGGAAGGGAAAAGCCCCAGAAATGAAGGGAGAGAAATAGACTATCATGCCAAGGACTCCCACACAAAAAAAAGGTGAATTCCCATAACAGCAGGGTACATACAACACATAGGGGATACCCTCTAAAGCACCACGTTCTAGTGAAGCGGGAACACTGCACTACAGGATAATGTAGGGCCTTTGCTTCATAAGGCTGTTTTTTTGTGTTTGTGTGTGTTTTGTTTTTTTTGTTTGTTTTGTTTTTTTAACAAGAGGAGACATAGCTGACTTTCCAAACACACAGACACAAAATTAGATAAAATGAGACCAGAATGTTCCAAAGAACAGGAGAAGACCATGAAAAGAGACGTAAAGTGAATATAACTAATATGGCTGATAAATTCAAAGTAATGATCATAAAGATATATAACGGACTTAAAAGTAGAGGATATCAGAGAAACCATTAATAAAGATTAAACACACACACCCACCCTCCCCCCCCCCCAAAAAAAAAAATCACAAAATCATGAACCAGAGGGGTACACCTGGGAGGTCCAGTTGGTTAAGTGTCTGCTTTTAGCTCAGGTCATAATCTCAGGTCCTGGGATCAAGCCCTGCATCAGGCTCCCTGCAGGGAGGCTTCTCCTTCTCCTGCTCACTCAGTTTGTGAGCACTCTAATAAAATCTTAAAAAAGTAAAAATAAAAGAACCAAAGCAGCTCCTGGATGGCACAGTTGGTTATATCTGACTCGGTTTGGGCTCAGTTGTGATCTCAGGGTTGTGAGTTCAAGTCCTGTCTTGGGCTTTGTGCTCAGCATTGACTACTTGTGACAGTCTTTCCCTCTCCCTTTAACCTTCCCCAAATGTGCACATGCACGCTCTAAAATAAATCTTAAAAGAACCAGAGATGAATACAATAAATAAGTTAAAAATACACTAGGTGAAATAAATAGGTTAAAGAAAGGAAAGGAATGAATTAACATGAAAGATGGTAATAATGGAAAGTAATCAAGCTGAGCAGGTGAAAAAAATTAGGCAAAATGAAAATTGACTTAGGAAGCTCAGTAACCCCATCACAATCACATTAAGGGATTTCAGAAGGAGATGAACAAAAAGGGGGCAGAAAAATCTATTTGAAGT